TTATTTTAGATTGTTCATTTGTTTGTCTACTTGGTTGAGAACGACGACTTTTCTTTTGACGTCGTTATTAGCTGAAGGTACCAAATGTTCTTAACTTCTAAATTCACATCTGGGGTCTTTAACTTCGTGTGGATTCGTTGAGCTTCTTTGGATGCATGTTCATAAGTTGTGTGATGGAGATTGGAAGTGAAGTTGGTTTCACTTGTTGCAATGTACCTAAGATTTGGATATTTTTTAGAAGCCAGTAACCTGCAGTTTAGAATTTTTGGTGCCGTGAGATTACTTGGTATTCAGATCTTGAGCAGGGACTGTGCATTATGAATAGTAAAGACAGTAAATTTAAGTTAACCAAACTGGAATAGAAGTCCTTCATTTTCTTAATTATCACCTGAGGCTGTAACTGGATCATTTTACCTTATTTTTATCACATTTTACATTAGATTAGAAAGTTTAACATATATTTTAGTTTCAGTCTTTTAGATATTAGGCTTAGATTTCCTTCCAGTTCCATCTAGCTGTTCACAATCTGGAATGGCTTCATGTGGCTGGAAGTAACGAAGACTCAACCATGAATAGTGCTCAAAGCCTCTATGAAGAGCATGTTGCTGTCCTCATTAGCTGCTGACGTATATTGAAGCACGACTCGGTGAAATAACTTATCCTAATATTCTAAGTCCTGTACTTGGTATGGTTGACTTCTTTTTGTTGTGTGCATCTGGTGTGTGACTGTTACTTAAGTACCAAGAGCCTTGATCCTTGTTGATTTTTGAATCATGATGGTCATTCCATCTAGTAATTATATTATTGGTCAATGGTTGTATTTAGTTTTTTTGTTCTGAAAGCACTGCAATGCCACTCTTTAAAGCTTCCGCCAACATGAGTAAAGCAAATTGAGATTCCACAAAAGATGGAATTTACTCTTCTGCACTTTTTCCTTTTACCAATCTGCGCTGTTAATTCCATCATTTGTCTCATTTGCAACAAGTTCACCGTTTATCAATTCTTGTTACTCCCTATCATTAAGGGCTCTGCTGAAGTAGAAATTCCAAATCACAGTCTCTTCATTCCAGCAATCCTGAACCAAAAGGATTTGAGATTTCACAATCTGAAATAAGCTTCGGAATATTAAATTTACATTTGTCCTTGAATGGTTTTTCTAGGAACTAATTTTTCCTCCATTGCCTACCTTAAAAAAAAAGAAAAGGAGCTGCTTTGGATTTTCAATGCACCAGAAAATTCCAAGAATTGTTTTTTTACAAGGTTTCAATTAGCTGCAGTAAACCAACCTCCTTGTCTTTTACAAAATTTTCTTATATAATTGAGTGGCAATAAAATCTCTTCTAGTGCGAACCTTCAGAACCACTTGGAAGCCAAGGCAATGTGATTGATTCTAGATTCCGTATCCTTAATTCCCCTTAAACTTCGGTGTAACTTACACAATGACGTCCCCCTTCACACCCTTCCTCAACCTATATGAGGATCTTCACGCTTTTCTCCAACTCCTTGATTACTTTGCATTTTGAAAATGGACATAAAGTAGATGGACGTACTAGCAAGACAAGATTGTTTTAAAGTTAATCTACATCCTCTGGGGAAGTTTGCATGTTTTTTTTCTCTAACCTGTTCTTGATTATTTCCACTATTGAGAAAAGGGCTGCCTCCAAGGGGTATGTAACAGCCAAGTAGGTAAAGACCACACTCTCAGACTACACCTCCAAAATGGTTTATCGATATTGACGAAGGAAATCATAGACTAACTTGTCGATACTATCTTATTTGTAATAAGGACTGAATCCATTATCCACAATTTTTTTTATTATTTATGAATGCAAAGTGATTATTTGAGATCATGTTGGGAGTTCTCATTCAATCTGTCAGCTTGCACTTTGGCAAGGTTATAAACATCGTTCACCAAACATATCTGATGAAACTCCATCCTGCTAGCCTGGCAGGATGGAGTGCTAGCGTTTCTTTCTTAGGAAGACATGTTAAGGTCTCTTTCAGGCTACCATTCTGCACCTCTGAAAAATTCTTGAACATCTCAAGTTTATGAATATACTACAATGATATTCTGACATTTTCCCTAGTATTCGACAATGTAATGTAAAGAAGAAATCTAAACATCTCGATGGAAACTTAATTATGAATTGTTACTCGTAGTTTTCTGTAATGAAGATTTTCAGTGCTTCAAAACAAAGAAAAAACCATGTGCATTAATGTGATTTGTTTCTATGTACAACTTAAATGACTTATATAAAGGGTCAATACTGTGGGGCTTTTAGAAGTTTGGTAGCTCAGATGAATTGATGAAATAAAAAGTTCCTTTGAGATTCATCTACTTTCTGGAGTTGTGCTTGCCGATGGCACGTTATAGGAGGAATCAATTTCTCTGCACAACATGCATCGCTAATTACATGTGATTACATTGATCCCTTGTAAGTTTTAACTCATTAGACCTGTTGGAGCAGATCTAAGTCAGCCGCTGATGCTTCAATGGGTGTAGTGGTCTACCCTCCTTGTTATGTTATCCGTCCTTTTGCATGTTCTATATCCCAACAATTCATCTTGATGTCTACTTAAGAAATGCATGAAGATCTTTTTTTTGTTCAAAGTCTCTTGCTGGTGTGATCTTGCGGTGCAACACTTTCCACTTCAAGGAGTCAAATGCAAAACAGAACGGGTGGTCAAATCAGATAATAGAGGTGTAAATCGTTAGTCAATAGATTATTTTCTGTGTTTGTGAAGAACTATTTAAACATTTAACATTTGTATTACATTTGTTTTACAATGTAATCTTTGGTAGTCAAAACACGTAACCATGAGGGGAAATCCTTGAAATCAATTTTGGCATGACTAATACAAGGTTAGTGAAAAGGTGTCCCAAAAAGTAAGCCCTGATCAGAATTATTGGTTTCAGGTGATATGACTGAACACGTGGCTGAGATCAAAAGTAGGTGTGTAGTGAATGATGCGTGTCTAGCTGAACATGGAAATGCTTCTGCTGGTTCTCCTAAAACTTCTCCAGAAGTCTTCTCATCTGCTATTGAGTTCTATGTTTGGTCTGATGAGGGGATTAACCTTTACGTGGATTTAAATTCTAGCCCGTTGGACTGGACTGAAAGATTAAAAAATGAGGTTTACATCTGTGAGAGCGTCTACAGAGAAGAATGTCTGCATCAGAACCTCTGTTGGTTTAAAGGTCATAAAGGAATTGCGAGTTCTTTTCAGTGGAATAGTCCAGCTGGTCTAATCAAGGATGACTATTTACGGAAAGAACATTCCTCCAGTTTAGACCTGATGATAAATAAATGCACGGAGATTGACCAACTAGATGCGGCTGATGGGTCTGTAATCTCTTCTGCAGTGATGTCTCATGCCATTAATGCAGATGCTTCTGAGCATTTAGATGAAAATCAGACAATCATGTCTTCTGGAATTGATTTTGATGTGCAAAACCAGAAACTTGCTGGGTCTCAATTTTGTGCTGCAGTCGATAATTGTGAAAAGAATATCAATGACGCTTTACAGAAGAAGGCAAATTGTGATTCTGTTTCTGGCGGTTTATCTAGCGCTGCTACATTAGAACATCGGAATTCTATACTTGAAAGTGAAATTTGTGAAACTTCAACCCTACAGAACAGCTGCACTATTTTAAACCTCTCTGTGGGATATCCTGGAAGCTCAGCAGCTGGTTCCATGGACGTGCAATCATCAGATATTGAAGAACGCCCTAAAGATATTTCGTGTACACCTTATGGAGGCTTTTCACAGAGAGATTCAAAGAATGTTACTGATTACAGCTTGCGAACATTTGCAGAGAAGTCGGTAAGGTGTTGTTTCGTTGCCAATTTCCCTGCTGCAATTAGGATTAGCACATCATGGTTGCTATGTTTCTTCTTTTCAACAATCTTCAATTTGTGTATGATTATAAATATGGATGAAGCATTGGATTTGGTTGGCTTTTAGCTCTAGATGGAGTTTTTGGTTAAATTTTTTAATAATTAATTCCTTGATAGCCAGTTGGAGAGGCATTCTGTGATCTCGTTTGACTTTTTCATTTGGGACGATGTCTTATTTTCTATCTTCCTTTTTGTACATGATTCTTGTATGGAATATTTCCTGTATGTGTATATTGGAGCTTTTTTCCAATGCAATCTTCTTCTTCAACCAGCAGAAAGTACACCTGCTTTTTCTAAGTTCAATCAGTCATTGTTTGTGATATGATCTCTTTTCTTGCAGGATAGGAACGACTTAAGTGTTGCAATGGAGACCTCAGAGTAAACACTTATCTAATGAGAGGCCTTTAAACTATTTTAACTTGTGGTTTGATACCATAATTCCCCTTTTTTTTTCTCAGATGCTCTCAATTCCCCGACTCTGACTCACTGGAGAAGATGTTGCCTGTATCTGATATTCTCAAATCTAATGGAGCACATAAGAGAAAGAGGAAAGTCATTAAAAATGAAACAAAACATCGTTATAATGAACCTGATAGAAGAGTTTTAAGAAGTGGAAAGGATAATGCTAAACAGGCGCTTCCTAGAAGATCCAGGCGGCTCATTTTAAAGGTCTTGTACTCAATTCATACATTCCTAAGGTGTATAGTGCTTTATGGGTTGATTTATGCCAATCTTTATATTTTAGTTATCACAGTTATGCTCTATGATCCTTCCTAATTCCTGCAAACTCTCTTTGCCTCTTGTCTAATTTCTGAATGCTTCAATTTTTTGACGCGCTTGAAGTGCTAGAGTAGAAGATATGAGTTAGGAAATACGTACTGTTATGGAAATACTTAAATCTGGTTATTTCTATTTAGAATCTTTTCCCCGTTTGTATGATTAAATTCTTATCATTTGATGCAAATATTTATGAGTGTATTTCTTTTTATTAGACTGTGAGTTCATAAAGTGCATTGGGACATGGTGGAACATGGAAGGCTCAGTTTCAAGTTCCGCATCTGTTATCTAAGGAAGAATCAGATCGATAGTACGTATGGATATCTTTACCATATATTTGTCCATAGAAATACTGTGTTCGTTTTGAGAAATACCACACAATTGTTTCCCTGAGATATGGTTTTCTGTTAGAATATGGTCTCTCCCATAGTTCATTCTCTACCTAAAGAGATAGATCCGTAGCACCTTTCTTATCACATATTTTGTTATTTAGAACTTAAAAAGGAATCTTAGTTCAAGAAGGGTGGGATGGGGTGAAACCTCCAACATTGAACTTTTCTTTTTGTCCCAACCAGTCGAGTTGTGCCCATATTGCCAGTTTGTTGACGTCTGATTGATGATTTTAAATTTATGTTGTCTTTCGCTTCTCTTTTCTGTGATGAATTTTGTTGGCGTCATGGCTCTATTTTGTCTTAGTTTTTCTCTTTTCTGTCTCATACAGCCATGACATTTTGTGTTACTAATGACTCTAACTTGTGCAGGTTGCAACGTTAGAAGTCGACATTTTTTCGCAGGAAAGTACAAGGTTTGATCTGGGTTTCTTCTTTAGTTGGATGGGCAAGAACTCTTTTATCATTTTATGGAAGAAATCAATTCTGTGTAAGGCTGATCTGATTAGTTTCATATTGAATGAATTGGTATAACCAGATTCTTCCGTGACACTTCTTTTTTTAGAATATAATATATATAGGAGCGAGAATTCTAACTTACGACCTTTTGATTAGACATGGATTCCTTAACCAGTTAAGTTATACTCCAGTTGACCACCCATTTCTAAACATTATATCATATTCACTTTAATAAAGATGAATTATAGGCCGGAGTTGATTTAGTTTCTGCTTCTTTTTGGTCTTTTTTTCTTTTTTTGAATTGCATAAAATGAAACTGATCCTAGTTTTGACGTAAATAAATAAATATGGGTCCTAGTTAAAATTCCATTAATTAATTTACTTTGGTTTCTGTCAAATCTATGGTTTCTA